AGGCAACTCCTTTGCCCTCCTCTGTGTTCATTACCAATGTGTAGAGTTCATTTGGATGTTCTCTACCACTCTCCATTTCCTTCTCCCTATTGGAAACGCCTTAACAGAAGTTCCCAATGGACAAAAAAGTATTTTCTTATGCAGAAGCTGGAAGCTTCAGGCTGCTGTGTCCTGTACCTTGGGAGTACCAAGTGGCACCAGAGCCCGTGAGGCTCCCCTGCCACAAGCCCATGGCGGCTGCAAGAAGCCACACAGATGCTGGCCCCAGGCTGTGCCTGCAAGTCGTGGGTGGCCTGTCCCACTGCCCTGTGTCGGGCAGACTGCTGTGATGGGGCCCTGCTCCACATAGAGCAGCGCCAAGTGCCCAAACTTCTGCCTGAGCAAAGCTGGGGACGGTGTCCTTGTGCCAGGCAGTGCTGTGGGGCTGGGAGCTAGTGTCTCCCTGCTGCCCCACACCAGCACCACGCTGCTGCACTGGGGCATGGGGTGCGCTGGTAGCCTTGGCCATGTGGTTCCACTGGCCACTGGTGACACGCTGTGAAGCACCAGCCAGGCTATGGGGCAGCGCTGGCAGTGTGGCTGGAGGGGCAAAAGGGTATGAGTTGGGGGSCAAAGGGGTATGAGCCCAATCAGCCTCCAATGCTGCAAAACTGCTGATTGCCATGTGTGTGGAGCCAGCTGGTACGGTCACTGCCGTGGTGTCCCCTTTGCTCTCCACATGCCCTGTGCCATGGGCAGGGGCTAAGGGATGTGTTCAGGAACGAGGAGTTGCCTCTGTGTGCCCTGTTGGTGGATGTGGGGAGGAAAAGGGTGCCTGAGGCAATAGAGGAGATGAGTTCAGTGTTGGAGGAGATCCTGGCTCCAGCAGCTGGCGGTTGTCAGTACAGGACTCAAGCTCTGGAGGGGACAAGCAGCAGGCCTTGTGCCTGCTTGAGAACTAGGGGCCAGACAGTGCCCAAACTCCCAAGTTTCACACTTCCTMTGCAAGCAGCCTGCTTGGCTAGTTCCACGTTAGAAACCTCCCTCTAAGCATCTGAAGGTGGTATCAACATGTGAAGTGGGAATCTCATCTACAATCCCAGTCAAGAAAAGCTAAGGGAAGGATTTAGTTCCTAAACACCAGCTCTCACATGGATGCCAAAATGCTTTGGCTGCAAGTTGCTTTCCTAAATTGAGTGGCTGAGATGCATGTGGCAAAAGAAGAATTTGAATTGCACTGATGCATGAGGCTATGTTGCTCCATGAGGAAATGTGCTGTGGCATAGGGCCCAGAAGGGAAGAAAGGTGCAGGAAAGCTGGTTGATACTCAAGAATCTCCCCACAATGCTCCAGATGAGTCCGTTTTAGTGAGGACTTTACCGAATTTCCAGGAAGAAAGCCTGCAGAGAGGGAGACTCTCCCTTRTGCGGGAGAAATGGCTTAGCCATATCTGAAGCAAATTGTGCATCCATAAGGCCACAGGCCCTGCTCTTAGGCACTCATGAGCACGGAAGAAGCTGGTCAATGTCATTATAAAGCCACCCTTGGGAAGGCTCTGGTCAACAGGAGACATGTTTGAGGCCTGCTAGAGCGCCAATGCCATTCCAGTCTTCCAAAAAGACAAAAACATGGTTTCACAAATGGGAAACCATGCTTAACCAACCTGATAGCCTTCCCTGATGGCATGGCTGGCCGAGTGGAGGAGGGGACAGCAGTGRTTGTGCTCTTCCTTGACTTCAGGAAGGCTTTCCACACTGTCTCTCACAATAGGTAAGCTGAGCAAGTAAGGGCTGCATTAGCAGAGGGCGACCTGCACTGACAAGCACAAGCTCCACTGACAAGGGGCTGAAAGGCAGACCTCCAAGGACTGTGATTCAGTAGCTCAAAGTGTATGTAGAGATCTGCAGTTAGTGTCATACACCAGGGTTCAAGGCTGGCTTCAATCCTGCTCCAGTCCTGTGCTGCCTTTCACAGGGACCTTGACAGGCTGCAGAGATGTGCTGGAGAGGAACCTCATGAAATTCAGCAAAGAGCAGTGCTAAGTCCTACATCTCAGGAGGTATTGCCCCCAGGACAGGCTGGGGGGCAATATGCTGGAAAGCAGCTCTGCAGAGAAGGATCTGGGAGTCGTAGTGAACAAATGGATCATGAGCATGAGGAGGTGCATCGCCATCTGGACAATGAAGGTAATTCTTCTCCTCAGCTTGGAGGAGGCCACTCAGCTGAACTGCTGAGTCCAATGCTGGCTTCTCCAGCACAAGAGATGTGGAGCTCTTGGTGTGAGGCCAGTGAAGGACAACAAAAATAACAAAGGGCCCTGGAACATCTCTGTATGGGGAAAGGCTGAGAAAGCTGGGATTCCTCAGCCTCAGGAAGACAAGACTGAGGAGGGATTTTATCAAAGCATTTAAATATCTGAAGGGAGRGTGTAACGAGTGAGGGGGAGGGTGAAGACTCTTTTCAGTGGTGGCCAGAGACAGGACAAGAGGCAACAGTTACAGAAGTCTGTTGCTGTTTTCACACCAGTGGACTTGCCAGCTCTGAATCTGTGTGCTATTTTGGGAGACAAGCTACAATATGTGTATTATCACCCTGCCCGTGAAGGATGGCCCATCAACTAGTCAATACATCATCACCACAGTAACAACAGCAACAGCCAGTCTATCTAGAATAGACAACCTAAACCTAGAGACATATCCCACCAATCACGAAGGAAGGACCCATGGATTCATAAAATCTTAAGTTGCAAAAAGACTGTTTGGGCAACAATTTGAAGATCAGTATCTGATCTGGAATAGCTGAATAAAGGGGAAAAATCACTTCCCTTAACCTGCTGGATATTCTGTCAATGCAGCTCAGGAAACTTGGCATTCTCTGCTGTCAGGTCATGCTGCTGGTTACATTGACCAGCCCACCTAGGGCTGCTCAGAAGTGCTGCTCTCCAGCCAGTCAGCCACAGTCTGGATCACTGCAAAATTAGAATTACAGAATAAGGTAGGTCAGACTTATGGCAACAGGTTCCACCAGCAGTCCAAAACTCTGAGTCCAAAGCAAGGTGATGAGTCATTATCCTGTAAAATCCAGTCAATGAATGACTCAGAACCAGCAGGGAATTGTGCTGGGCACAAGAGGTCCACTTAAAAATATAGTTGGGAACAGGACTGGGGGCCAAGCCTAGAGGTTGYGTGGGGTGTGTGAGTGGAGGTCCCTGAAAAGGGTAGTCAGGGCAAGAAAGTCCTGTTGTAGACTAGGGGGACAAACTAGATATGGATGATAACTTCAGTACATGGAGAAAGTGAAGTTAAAGCACAACAATAAACTGTAGAAGCAATCAGCATTGTTCAAAACAGAGGTTTCAAACTAAACATATAGCCCCATTAGTACAATCTGATGTYTAAAGGGTCAAGATGAATGACACTCAGCTTATCAGTGGATAGAGCTAATAATGAGACTCCCCATTCCCACAGGAGAAGCTGAGTTGCATTCAGTTTTGGAACGTACTTTTTCCAGGACTTTTTTCCTGCACTTGCAAAAATCGGAAAACCACAAATCAAACTGTTAACTAACTTCTATGCATGTATAGCAGAGTACTTTAAGAAGGAGCAGGTCTTTTTCCCAGGGTAGAATTCCAGAGCAGACATACCTCATGTTTCTATAGTATCTTTAAAATTAAGATTTGAATATAGCATCTGCAAAGACGTTGTAAAACAGAACATGTACAGGCTTTTCCTTATGAAAAAAAGAAATGTGTATATTTTTTGGATTTTTTTAAAGTATCTTCTGCTTCACATTTCATGCTCCATGAAAAATGAAGTCTAGCATATGCCACATAAAAGAGTTGGTAGTATCTGCTACCACCTGCTGACGAACACCACTACTGACTTTATCCCAGCCAATCTCATGGAAGCAGCCTGTATTTTGTGATAAAACTTGCAATGACTGCTCTCTACAGTGCCTGAACAGTAATATATAAAAACTTTAATACTACATGTTATAGTCACAATAAGCCACTACCTTTTTTCTCCATTCAGCTTGTCTGTTTGTATGTCAGCTTCACCTCTGACCATCATATTCAGCTCTACTACATCTTGCATTCACATCTACTACATCTTGCATTCACTGAACCAAATTTCATATTAAATATCATCTGAAAAAAAAAAGAAAAAAAGGACGAAGTTTTAGGTAAGTCAAGTCTTGAGAAAAAATTAATTTCATGATGCAGTAGCAATACAAATTTCATGAAAACCACGGCAAATACTGGCCGTGTAGCAGAACGGCTTGTGATCCAGGCCAAGGTAACTCCATTAAGATCACGGTGCCTCCTCGCTTGTCCGATGAACCTGAATTTGAAAGACCTGTTCAAGATCTGTTTAAGGTAGGTTCTTCCAGACCTACAAATATTTAGCAAAACAGGAGTGTAAATGAGATGTCTTGTCCCCTTTCCATCACCTACTAATCCTTTTTCTTTTTCTCTTTGGCAAAGCTTAGCATTTTTCTCTTGGCTGAAGCTCCTGCCGGGGCATGCTCATGGTTTCTAGTCAGAAATTCCCAATCAGGGCTTAATATTGTCTTTTTTTTTTTTTTTTT